TTTTACCAAAACTTTTAAATTAAATTATGCAAAAGTTTATTATCTTTTATGACTAACTTTCTGTTAATTTCTTTAATCGTTTTAAAAATCATTCTTTTAAAATTAAAAATTATTTAAAGCCTATTTATTCCAAGCACCTAAGATATTTTAAAATATATTTAACTATCATTTCTATTATTACTAAGAAACTAATCATTCTTAACTTGATTAGAGAAATCACAATAAACAATTTAAGGAGTTAAAAACTTAAAATACTCCTTGCTTAGGATAAATAGAAAGGTGTCTAAATTTTACCATAAAGCATTTTTTTTATTTAATTTAGCTATAGAAATATAAATTAGAGAATTATTTTTAAACTTAAATCTCCAATCATTATTCACCACCATTTTATCAATTCTCTTCTTAAGATTCCTTCTTTGCCAAATAGGAACAAAATGTCACAATAGTTTTATAATTAACATGTCTCTCACCTTTTTTTTTTAGAATAATATAAGATAAATTGAAATTATCAACAACACTATTTCCTTTCAAAAAATACCCCTAAAACATTTTTTAAGAATAACATAAACAACATTCGAAGAGGTCTTCAATATAAAGTCTATGAGTCTAACCACATAAACTTTCATTGCAAGTGTGTGAAGTTTGATATTGATTGTAATTGGAATATATGTATCACTCTCTACTAGAAATTGTAGCTTTGGGAAGTGCAAAAGTTGACAGGCCTGCACACATGAGTCTTTCTAGATTTTATGAATCAACATGTTTAGATGGATTATCATACTATCTATGCCCACATATACCCGATGATGTAAGCGGATCTAACGATTGTCGTCAAATCTCTACAAGCATAAGTGAAGTCAAAATTGAGGTTTAAGATAACACATAAAAAGGTGAGGCTGACCAAATAGAAAGCTATTGCTTTGATATTTGGAGATTGAAAAGAATCATATAATGAACTTCCTAAATGATTGGGTGGCTTAGAGTCTTATATGTCATGTACTATTATCTAATTGCAAATTGTACTATACTATGTTGCTAACATTGTAGATTATAGTTGTTGTATGTTCTAACGTCTTTTTCTAGACCTATCACTGTATATAGACACATTCGAATATTGCAAAAAACTTATTTTGATTGATGAAGTACACTTGTATTGGAAGTATGCTGGACATTGTTGATGGCAATTGCCCATGATGGCAACTCAAATATCTTGCCCAGTTACATTTGTCGTGGTGGAGATAGAAACAAAAGAAGCATGCTTTTTTTTTCTTGAGATATGTTCATCAACATGTGACACCACAATAGAGTATTTTTGTCATATCTAATATGCATCATGCTATCAAAGCAATTTTAGAAGTGACAAGGAGTGAATAACATCCCTCTTTAGCTTATCATACATATTGTTCACGACATATTGCATCAAATTTAACTATAAAGTTCAAGAATAAAGGTGCAAAGTGATTGCTAATGAAAGTAACATATGCTTACGGTAGAGGGAAGAACGGTATGTAACGCCCCTAATTTTGTAATATTAATTATTATATATATATATATATATATATATATAAATCTAAATGTATATATATGTGTGTGTTGATTTACTTGATAATGATGTTTATGTGTATTAAGTATATGGATGTGTGTATTGTGTGTATGCATGACTGGATAGGGCTGAAATGGGCTAAGTGCCTAAGTGCAGGGCGTGATACTGGACTATTCTTGCTGCAGCGAGAGGACTCTCGATGTAGTGAGAGTGCCCTAGGAGAAAGGACCAAAACTATCGCCTTCTTGCTGTAGCGACAGTTTGGGGTGCATTTCTGGGTGCAGTCTCGCTGTAGCAAGAGGGTCTTACTGTAGCGAGATTCTGCAGAAATCAGGTGCAGTTTCGTCTGATATTTTCGCTGCAGCGTGAGGGCGTGTCACTGCAGCGAGGCGAGAATATCTCGTTGTAGCGAGAGTGTCGCGATTAGAAAAGGATTTAAAGAGGGGTTTAGGGTTTGAGAAGTTATTTCTCAAAAATCCCTTCAAATCCCTCGACCTAGAACCCTTTTCCACCGATTAAATTGCCTCCAAAGCCGTTCGGGAGCTTGATTGAAGGTTGAATCCGTGTGGGGAACGCTTGGAGGTGAGTTTTAATGGTTAGGGTTCCATTTCTCATCCCCTTTTCTCTGTTTTTGGGTTTCCTTGGGTTCTCATGGAGTTCTTCCACGTGTTTTAGGCCAAAATCTGTGTAGGGAGCAAATTTGTGGTCGAATCCGAGTGTGGGTCTTCAATCCAAGGTGAGGGGGACTCTATCCTACTCTTTTATGCATGAATTGTTGGTATTTTGCTGAATTTTGTGTTGTGGCTGAGTTAGTGGGTAGGAAATTGCTGAGAAATGTAATGTGGGCCACCTGCCGTGATATGTGAACATTATGTGTGTTGATCTGAAATCGATGGATGTAGATTGTATGTGAATGTTGTGTGATAGAATGAGTATGAGCATTTATGCCGTATATTTGAATGAATATTATGAAAATATGGGTCCAAGGGCCGTGTAATATGAACGATAATTGTAGGCTGCATGCCGTGTGCTGTGAAATGCAATGTGGGCTGTGTGCCGTGTGTAAGCATGATTATTGCATGCGTGAATGGAATATATGTGTGAATGAGCGTATTAGCGCCGTTGTAATGTGCTGTGAATGGTTCAGTGATATACTGGGGTGTGAAAGATGAGGACGATAGAAATACCTTGGGGTAGAGGGAGTGGTGGTGACACCGACTATGGAACGGGTGCACCATGGGTCACACACTCTCTTCCTGACTAGACTTCTGACCGCTACCTTTGCTGAGCGACCTGTGACTGCCCACGTGGTATCCGTGAGGCGGGGGTAACCGGCGACCATTCATGGTGTAAATCTGTGATCACAGTGTCACAGTGAGTGTGGCTAACGTGCATATGCATGGGTTTGTGTAATGTACTTATGGATGTGAAATGTTGCCGATGCCGTGAGTGCATTGGTGTTGAATTGACATGAGCTGTGTGACTATGCTGCCTGTGATTGTGTTTGTTTAATGTAGTGAAAATGTGCTAGAGGTGAGACTTTATGCTGACTGTGTGTTTTTGAGTAGCGTAGAGTACTCACCCTTACATTCATTTTTCAGGTAATCAAGACGATGAGCACCGGACTCAATGAAGGGGTGGATGGAACTGCTATAGGACTTAGAATATTATTTTGAAAACTGTTGTATTTGAATAAGTCCTGTAACAGCTGTTTGATGAAATTGTAACCCCCTTTCTTTATTTTGAAATGTTTGACGAAACTTGGATTAGAAATAAAAGTTTTATTATTTCAAAATTTTCTGAAAATTCCTTATTTACTAAAATTAAATTTAAGGTGTTACATGGTAGACCCCCAACTATAGTTTGTAGTCCCATTAAAATCAATAACAAGAGGGAGCCACTTCATATGAACTCTAAATCCTGATTTATCTATGAACAATATCCCACCAAATAGAACTATTATGTATGCTTTGGGTAACAAATAATAGTCTACTCATTAGTGTAGATTTACAGAGAATCGTTTTTTGTTTCTCTCATCTAAAACTACTTCAAGTAAATCTCTACACAATGCCATATATCTTGATTATAAAATTTCTCCCATACTCCAATGTAGGGCACCCACACGTAAGCTTAGTTGAAACACAACATCGCAATGTGATTGTACAATTTTTATATGAAAGATGAAATGTGTGTGACTCAGACTTTCAACACTCCACATGTGCACTAATAAGCGCCTAGTGCTAATAGAATATTAGAACCATTTACATAACATGCCAAAAATCAGTTTGTCTAAGAAATTGTTCTATTCTCGATTTTGGAGCAACTATCATATAATAGCTCCTACTTTTTAAGATTTGAGTATCCTATACGATACAAAAATGTTATATATAAGCTATTGTTCACTAAAACTGAAAATTACACCAAAATACTACTTACTATTTTCTTCATATACATTATGAATTTAAATAAATAAATTTATATGAATTTAAATAAATAAATTTATTAAATTAACGTATAAGAGACAACTAATTAAATATATAATTATTAAGTTAACGTTTACAAAACTTCCTTATTAGACAATTGAAAAATTAATGACATAAAATTAAATAAAAAAATTTAAAATACAAATAAATAATTTTTAAAAAATTACCTCATTAATAATTCACTTGCACTGTAACTAATAAAATTAAGCTAATTTAAATTGTTATTTATATTCATTGCAACTACAGTAAACCACTTTCTTTTCTTTAAAATATTTATTTCCGTCGCACATTTTTTTTTCTCTCATATTAACTATGATAATCACTTAATTAGGTGTGCTAAAATCTATTAAAGTTATTTTCTAAATCATTCAAAAGTTGATTAAAATTCACTTCTTTTATCTTCACTTTCACTAAGTTAATTCTAATTGACTTTTAAGAAACCTCAAAAGCCAACAAAAGTAATCAACTTCTATGTAATGTACAGCATTAAAAGCGACATGACAAGAGTTGCACTTAAGTTGACTTAAATCAACTTATGTATATGTAAACAAAATGACTTGAGTCGGCTTCTTTTAAACTTAAAATAGGATATTTTTGTAAATTTTTACAATCCAGACACATTCACGTAACATGCTATTTCCTTTATTTTATTTTGATAAAAAAAAAGCCAAAATTTGGCATTTGCTGTTATCTGAGAGTGCTTGCAATTTACTGAGCAACAAGACCCCAATCATCCAGTGTGGAATGAATTTGGTATTAGGTATAATTAGGGAACAACGGTGGTCTTAAGGGATAATTTGTTTTACACTAAAGAATTAATTTAATTTTACACTCTTTAATATAAAATAAATGTCTAATAAAAAATATAATTTAAATTAATTTTTATATATTAAAAATGTTTAACTATTTAAAATAAAATTTAACTGTAAACAAATAGCAAAAAAATAAAATAAAATTTAACTGTAAACACACTGATGGCTTCAGTCAGCACAACTGCACCCGTTGAAGTATGTAATGCAGTTTAAACCCTAAAACCCTAGAAGGCACTCGTTCTAGAGCCTTCTTATTCGTTTCTTAAATCTTTCACACAAACGCACCCTCTGGTTTGTGGGTTTCTCTCTCTGCATTGTTTGCTTCTTTCTCCCTCTTTCTCGCGCAATTCACATAATGTATCGCCTGGCTTCTAGTCTCGCCTCCAAAGCTAGGTCACTCTTCATTCCACTCTTTTTTCATGTGTTGTGTTCAATTGGAATTTATTGTCTCTTTGATCCTTACAATGACATTGTTCTTCTAAACGTTAATTCATGTTTCTTTGGCTGCAGGATTGCTAGGAATAGCAGCCATCAGGTAGAACACAATCCACTTTTCTTTAGAGTGTTATCACTTCTATTTAAGATTTTTTTAATTTAAAATATCTCTATTATTAATATGGTTACAGTATTTAAAATACCCTTATATTAATATGGTTACAACAGGAAAAACAAAATTTTAAAAAGATTTAAATGGAAGTTAGTGACAACCAACAGACCCTGTTGTTTTTATAATGTTTGTTGACATTTGAAAATGTTTTGGAGATTGTGTTTCATGGTGTTTCCTTTTCTGCATTGTGTAGGTCAGTTGGAGCAGAAACTATGCGGCCAAAGACATCAAATTTGGTGTGGAGGCTCGAGCTCTGATGCTTAGGGGCGTTGAAGAGCTTGCTGATGCTGTCAAAGTAACCATGGGTCCTAAGGTAATTCACTTGATTGTTTGTTGGTTTTGCACTCGTTGTTGACACTGATGGATGGGGGAAGTTATTGTTGGTAAAGTGGGAAGAGTAACGTTGTTGATCCCTGATCCTTATGAAGAATATTCTTGCTCTTTTGAGGAACAAGAATCACTATTTAACAGAAGAATGAACCATACTAATGCGTTTGTTTTGAGTGTGTAATGCCATCATTCGATAACTATTTTTGTGTTGATGTATAGTTTATTATGTTTTAGGGTCGTAATGTGGTGATTGAGCAAAGTTTTGGTGCCCCTAAAGTGACCAAAGATGGAGTAACTGTTGCCAAGAGCATTGAGTTCAAGGATAAAGTTAAGAATGTTGGTGCCAGTCTTGTAAAGCAGGTTGCAAATGCTACCAATGATGTGGCTGGTGATGGTAAGCTGATATATCGGAAGAATAGATTTCTGTATAGTTAAATTTTCACCATTGGTTACTGTGTTAGTTACACAATGCTAGACTGCATGGTTCTGTGATTATTGAATTAGTTTGGCTTCCATCTTAGGTAGTGCTAATGATGTTATAAAACCATATACTACCATTAAGCATGCCGGTATTATGCAATTATGTTGGTGATGTCATGATGACAGAATGAGGGAGCATTTCAAATGTTCTACAGGAACCACATGTGCAACAGTCCTTACGCGGGCAATATTTTCTGAAGGCTGCAAATCAGTCGCTGCTGGAATGAATGCAATGGACCTGAGGCGTGGTATAACTATGGCTGTTGATGCTGTGGTGACGAACTTGAAGAGCAGAGCACAGATGATTAGCACATCGGAAGAAATAGCACAGGTTTGTGAATCAAACTTTGTTAGTGCCTCCTCTCACATATTGCAGGAAAAGCTAATAAAGACTCTCTGGGTTGATGTGGAATCATGTGATCCATGTGGTTGACCTCACCTAATGGGATGAGGCTTTGTTTTATTTTTGTTGTTGTTGTTGGATTTCTAATTTTGAATTTGTTTTGATAGGTTGGGACAATATCTGCTAATGGGGAGAGAGAAATTGGTGAGTTGATTGCAAAAGCTATGGAGAAAGTTGGCAAAGAGGGGGTAATCACAATTGCAGTAAGTTCTTATCTGATCAGCTTATTGATATTTATTTTATGCCTCTTACTTTACTCATGGAAAGACATAAATTTATTTTTCTTTGTGGAAGAAATGGGATGGGGCTGCTTAATAATATTATCTTGATAATGCAATGCCTGAAGAGGCTTCTCCTGAAGTGTTCATAATTTCCCTTTTTTCCCCCACATGGTTCTAGATTGCATCTTTGCCGTCTATTGTTGGGATATTTCTTTTCCTTCTTGTATCCCAGATTCCAATTTGGTTTGAATTATTATGCCCTGTATTTCTGTATCCTATGAGACCTGATTGTTGAACTATTTCAGGATGCAAAAACTTTATATAATGAGTTGGAAGTTGTTGAAGGAATGAAGCTCGATAGGGGCTACATATCTCCTTATTTCATAACAAACCAGAAGAACCAGAAATGTGTATGCTCTCTCTTTCCCTTTTTCACAACATCAGAGTATTTATTGAAGGATTTTATGAAGTGCCTTATTCATGAATTTCCCATTGGTTTTATACCTTAACCATGTCATGTCTTGTGCCAACAGGAACTTGAGGATCCTCTCATTCTAATCCATGAGAAGAAAATCTCAAGTATTAATGCTGTAGTTAAAGTTTTAGAGTTGGCTTTGAAGGTGAGTGTTGTCATTCACTCTTTTGCCTTTGACTTTTAAAATATTGATTTTCCCTGACACCTACCTATCTCCAGAGACAAAGACCTTTATTGATTGTTGCCGAGGATGTGGAAAGTGATGCACTAGCAACTCTTATTCTAAATAAGCTTCGTGCTGGAATTAAGGTGTGTATTGCCTGTCTGTAGGTTAGGATTTTAGGTGTTAAGTTCCTAAAATTTTGGATCATTGATTTTTCTTAGTTGATGTTATATGTGATACTTTGCTGTAGATATGCGCTATTAAGGCCCCTGGTTTTGGTGAAAATAGGAAAGCTGGTCTTCAAGATCTTGCAGTTCTCACAGGAGGAGCAGTAAGTTCACTGTTATCTGAGGTTGCTGCTGCACTAAATCTTCTCAGCTTTTTAACATACCTTCTCTGTATCCTAATAGCTTATCAATGAAGAGCTTGGCTTGAAGCTTGAACAAGTGGATCTGGATATGCTTGGCACTTGCAAAAAAGTAAGATTTTAGCTTGATTTGCGAAGCATTTGAATCCACTTAAAAAAATTAGTATTTTTTTATGGCTTTATGTTTTTATTACTGATTCTGATAATGGATTCCTGGATCAACTAACTCGGATAATCCTGAAATAATTTTCCACTGAATTCTCCTCCATTCTTGCCCTGATGGTGTGTAGGGTAAATCATTAATGTATTATAGAATGTAGACAACTGATTAAGGCTCTTAATGTTGTAGATAACAATTTCTAAGGATGACACTGTCATTCTTGATGGAGCAGGTGACAAGAAAGCAATTGAGGAAAGATGTGAACAGGTTTGAGTTGATCTATAGATTTGATTTTGCCATGGTTCATGTTTTCCATTTTTATCCTATGACTCATCAGTTTTAATGATGATGAATCTGACTTGTTTGCAATGAATTCTGATAAACAGATTAGGTCAGCAATTGAAAATAGTGCTTCAGATTATGACAAAGAGAAATTACAGGAAAGATTAGCCAAGCTTTCTGGTGGTGTTGCAGTGCTTAAGGTATGCTTACTTAAGTAAATATTGGTTTTTAATGTTTTTTTCTCCACTGAACATCCAAATGAGATTCTGCAATGGCAAGAGTAACATTTGAAAACTGTTCCTCTGCAGATTGGAGGAGCCAGTGAGGCTGAAGTTAGTGAGAAGAAGGATAGAGTGACAGATGCTTTAAATGCAACTAAGGCAGCTGTTGAGGAGGGCATAGTACCGGGTAAAATATTGATACTGCATTCTTATGTTTAATTTTACAATCTGCATTAAGATCTGATCTAACTTTGATTTATTCTTGCATTGCAGGTGGTGGTGTTGCTCTCCTCTATGCATCAAAAGAGTTGGGTAAACTTCAAACTGCTAACTTCGATCAGAAGATTGGTGTTCAAATTATCCAAAATGCTTTAAAGGTTAGTGTTTCTTGAAATTTTGCTGATTTCCTCTTCTGCTCCTCCATAGTATTTGATTTTGACACTTGTTTTATCATGCCTTTATTATCTGTTCTCAAAAATGATGCAGACACCTGTGCTCACAATTGCTTCCAATGCGGGTGTTGAGGGTGCTGTCGTTGTTGGCAAACTGTTAGAACAGGACAATTATGATCTAGGATATGATGCAGCCAAAGGTCAGTGTTTTTAGTTTTCTTTTTCTGTGGTGTTTTCATTCCTTGTCAGAAGAGATGCTGATTTTGCTGACATTTTGTATTTTTGTGCTGCTTCATAATTAGGTGAATATGTTGATATGGTTAAAGCTGGAATCATAGACCCTTTGAAGGTGATTAGGACAGCCTTAGTTGATGCAGCCAGGTAAGGATGTTAAAAATTTTTCTCTAAGTATTGGGCCGGTTAATTTTGTTTGTTTTAGGTTTTGAAATCTGTTTTCTAAATGAATTTTGAAAACTGTTAGTTTTTTAATTTTAATAGAAAACTAAACTTTTTTGAAAAACAGTCAACAAACAGGTTCATAGGTGCATGCTATTTGTTTTTATGTAGCTTATAATCCTTTTTGTGCAGTGTGTCATCTTTGATGACAACAACTGAAGCTGTTGTGTCTGAACTTCCAAAGGACGACAAAGATATTCCAGCTATGGCTGGTGGCATGGGTGGCATGGATTATTAGCCAGCTAGCTCCTATTTGATTAGACTTGGAGCAAAGAATGGTGCTGAGCCCACACTTAACCCCACCCCACCCCCTTTTTTCCTTCTAAATTATGTGTTGTGTGAGGGCATCACTGTAATCATAGTGAGAGATCAGGATGTAGGTAAGAAAATGGGAGCAATAATTCCAATGTAATATTTTTGGAACAATTTTTTTTACCATTCAAATCAAGGCATTTGTACGCGGAAAATTTGTCAATTGAAGAATAGTCTTGATATAGTTCATAAGTTTGATCCATTCAAATTTTATTGCTTGAAGTTTGTTTAGGTGTGCATGAGGGCTTTGGTAAATTATTAGTTCCTTGGTGTTCAATTTTAATTGGTGAGAGGGAAGAGAAGGTAAGAGGAAGAAAAATTCATAAAAATTTCTCAAATTGAAAGAAATTAAAATTAGTCTTCAGAGTTTATAAAATCTCTTATCTTAAAACTTTAAAACAAGGGATTTCATTTATTATTAATTTTGTTATACGGATGAGTGATTAATAAGTCAATCAATTTTCTTTGTTAAACAACAAATTAAAAAGTGAAGAGGAATTAGTAGAAATTAGATTGTTGTTGGTAAGTTATTAAGTATTTTCTTTTAAATTTTCATATAAATATTATCATTTATTAGTTTTTAAAATTTTAGTTTTTAATTACTTAATTTTAATTGCTTATGTAAATAATGTGTTCATTACATAATTACAAAAGATTTATCAATAATTTAGATTTATTTTCTTAAGTTTTAAAATTATGTTTGATAAACAATCATTTATTTTTTAAAGTGGTACAGAGAGTTGATAAATAAAATAAGTAATAACTTTAAAATTAGTTGATTTAAATAATTATTAAAATTTATTTAATAATAGGAGTAATATGTGGATACTAACTTTGAAATTAGTTGATTTAAACAATCATTAAAATTTATTTGATAATAGGAGTAGCATGTAAATATTGTCAATACATTTTTATTGATTGATTTAAGAATAATAAAAAAAAAAAAGAAAGATTATTAAAAATTACATGAAGATTTGTTTACAATATTAAATATAGTACTTTCAATATTTTTTTTTTCATAATAATAACTATTGTTTTAGGACTATGGATAGTAAGATTATGGATTATGGCTAACATTCTTTAAAGGGGAAAAATAGGACTAAGTATCCTTGAAGTATAAAGTAAAATATTGAATGCTTGTTTAATTGAAATTAAGGTGAAAATTGTAATATCCTCATTTTTATTATCTTATTTTTGGAAAAAGATAGGAATTTTGATACAAGACTTCTCGTTCAAGTGAAACAGATATTTTTTGAACTGGGCTTTTTGGAGCATTCTTGCTCAAGTGAGATAAACTCGCTTAAACGAGATAGGATAGAGTTGCCTTAATTGTCCTATTGCCTAGGCAAGATGGGGTCTCGCTCAGGTGAGAAGCAACTTGCCCAAACAAGATGGAGCTCGCCCAGACGAAAAGTGACAAGAAAAACAGGGTGCTCTCTGGACCCATTTGAAAATACCTCTTGCCTAGGCGAGAATATCAGATAAACTATCATCTGGTTTTCTCGCTCAAGAGAGAATGTGCTTGTTCAAGTGAGAGCTCTCTCGCTCAAGCGAGAAAGTGTGAGTTTGAAGAGTATTTAAGGGTTTATGCATTGAGAAATTTCATTTCTCACCAAAACAATCTTTTCCTCTCTATTCTCTCACTCCCTTTCTAGAGAAAGCCTCCATTAAATCTGGATCTCTTGGATCTCAGCTCAAACATCTACTCCACTCGAATCTAAGTAAGTTTTCAGAGCTTAACCTTCGAATCTAGTTCCTATTTCTCTACTCCTTCTTCTCATAATAGTAATCTAGCTTGTGATGTTAGGAAGAACTCTAGTCCTTGGGTGTTGTCTCTAGTCAAGACATAGAACTTCTCTTTAGAGCTCACGAAGAATTTAGTCTTAGAAACTCATTTTCAGGTAAGGGGAGTATTATCAAACCTTAGTTTTATTTCTATATGTAATGACCTTAAGAGAGCCGAAATAACTTCTTTTAAGTAATAATCTATAAAATTTTCATGAAACTATATGGTGAAAAGTGAATTTTTGGTATAAAGAAGGATTTTGGATTTGTTTGAAATCACCTAGAACTGAATTCTTAGTAAAAGTCACAAGCTATAACGAGTTTAAGAAGTTTTATAACAAGTTAGACGAGATGCATATGTATATTTGATATTATAAGTTATTACTTCTTTGAATAGTATATGTGTTGAATGATAAAAGATAGAGAATATTGAATAGGTTTGAAGACTTTATTAAGACCGAGAGAATATGATCTTTGGCAAATTATATATGAATTGCGAGATTGGACTTAGTCTGAGAGTATGCAACCTTCGGCATATTGTGATGAATTGTATAATAACATGTTACTGTCTTGCGAATATCTGCTGAAATAAAGAAACCTGATGGTTGTATGAGCTTGATGAAAATTGTTCAGTATTTGGATGTGTGAATTATTTGATATGTTTTATTTAATCAAAAGATGGGAAGAAATAAAAGAAAATATGATAGTAAGCAGTGATGTATGAGATTAATGTGAATATATGAAAGTGCTGGTGAATGAAATTAGTATAAATATATGAAAATATAAGTAAAAAGGGAGTAACCAATAAATGTGTCATAAAAATACTGATTGATGCGATTATGATATATTTATAAAGTTTTAAATTTCGCTCATTTTCATTTATTCATATTTTATAATACACACAAACTTTCTTTATATTTATCTACTTTTCACTTATTTTAATCACATCGCATTGATATTTGTATCATTAAATAGGAACTATTTAAATTATAGTAAGAATGTTACAAAAAATATTTGTGAAAAAATTATATTTGTGAAAAAATTATATTTTATCTTAATTTTATGATTAACATTATATAATTATTAAAATAATATCATATTATTAATTAACTACTTATTTAAATAATTTAATAGGTATCAATATTAAACTTTGGTTAGAAATAATTACAATGGGTTGATTCATTCTTTTAGTGTTTAATAAACAATTTCATTTGACTTTATCTATAAAAGTTAAAAGTTGTTTGTAAGGCAATTTAAATATGCATAAAAATTCTAACTATGTAATAGTTGCATATGCTCTTTTGTTCAAATTCTTAGAATTATAATTATTGTTTTACAAAATTTAGAAGTTATAGATTTGAGGTTCTCTTTGATTACACATAATTTTTATTTCAATCTATTATAATTAACTAAAATATAACTTGTATTATTAATTGAATTGCTATTTTTATAATATTTTGTAATTGATATTAAAGACAAGTTCATCTAATAGTGGTGCCATCACATTTTCATTAACTAAAGAGGTAAGATTGTCATTATGTAAGACATGAATTGTAACACTCAATATTTTTAAGTATTAATTTAAGAATTATTTGATATTAATTGTTATTGGAATGGGTTTGGATTGAATTTTTAAGTGTTTGATGAAGTTGAAGTGCATGAATTCTCGTTCAAGCGAAAATGATGAATCTAGAACCTTCACTTTCAGAAGCCCCTCGCTTAAGCGAGAGATTCTCGCTCAAGCAAGATCTATGGCAGTTTACGAAGTGAGCTCTATATAAAAGGGTTCCCATGTACAAAATTTTTTATTTCCTAACTTCCTTTAAGCTTTCAAGAAATTCAAATGCTTAGATTTTCATTTTTTTCTCATATTAAACCCCTCTAAACTTATATTTCTCTTCAGATCTAGGATTGTACGTTCATTCTAAACGATTCAAAGTAAGTTTCTCTAAGTTTGAATCTAGATTTACCATTTATTTCTCTTTATCTCAAATTTCTTATAGATGGTTTTTAGGATAAACTTTGATTTTAGAGCAAAATCTTCGGTTAAATCTTTGAGAAATCCTTATCTTAAGGTAAGGGGGTTCTACTTTATCATTTTATTATGAATATTACTTTTGTTCTCATAGATCTTGTTATATTTATAATTATATGTGGAATAATCCTTGTTTTGTGAAAAATAATCAGTGAAAAATGTAATAATTGGTTATTTATATGATTCTATGATGAATATATGAAAATATATGGTGAAAATATGTTATTATGTCTAAATAGTGCATGATAAGGTATATTAAGAATGGTTGATATGATGTTATGATTTTGTGATATGAAATATTCAAAGAAAATGATGCTTCATGTTTTAATATATTGTGATTGATGTAAAAATTATGTATGTTGTGAATATGTCATGGTTTGATGTATATGATGAAAAGTATGTGGAAATATAATGAAAAATATGTGTGAACATGATATATGGCATAAGTGAACATGTGAATATACTCGAAAGAGTATAAGTTGGAAATGAATATTGTAATGCCCCAAATTTCAGAAACATTAATTATTGTTATTTATATAAAATCTAAAGACATATATATGCGTGTATAAGCGTAAATGGATGTTGAAAATTTGCATTGGATGCATGATGATGATGTTTTGTTTGTAATGAGTATAAATATATGTACATATATGTATGTTGTGAATGTGTGTATATATATGTGTGTGTATGCATGACTTGATAGGGCTGAAATGGGTTAAGTGCCTAAGTGCAGGCGTGATACTGGGCTGTTCTCGCTGCAGCGAGAGGATTCTCGCTATAGCAAGAGGGCCCTGGGAGGAAGGACTAAACTGTCGCTTTCTCTCTGCAACGAGAGAAAGTCTCGCTGTAGCGAGATTTTGCAGAAACCAGAGTGCAGTTTCATTTGAGATTTTCGCTGTAGCGTGAGGGCGTGTCACTGCAGCGAGGGGACCTCGCTGTGGCGAGAGTGTCGCGACCAGAAAAGAATTTAAAGGGGGTTAGGGTTCGGGGAGGGTTATTTCTCCCTCTCCCTTCGAAATCCCTTGGATCCTCTCATCTTCAAACCCTCTTCCACCGATTAAATTGCCTCCAAAGCCATTCAGAAGCTAGATTGAAGGTTGAATCCGTGTGGGGAACACTTGGAGGTGAGTTTTAATGGTTAAGGTTTCAGTTTTTCATCCCTTTCTCTATTTTTGTGGTTTCCCTGGGTTCTCATGGAGTTTCTCCATGTGTTTAGGACGAAATCCATGAAGGGAAGCACTTCTTGGTGGATTTAGCGTGTGGGTCTTCAATCCGAGGTAAGGGGGACTCTACCTACTCTTTTTATGCGAAATTGATTGAATACGGAGTTGTGGCTGAGTTAGAAGGTAGAAAATGTGGAGAGAATGAAAGTTGGTTGAGAATTGTGATAAGGGCCATGTGCTGTGAGATGTGAAT